AACCAGGAAACGCGAGACTGTACTACTTTCGACGGACGCCGAAAAGGCGTTTGACCGAGTACATTGGACATATCTCACATCCACTCTCCGCCACCTACGATTCGGTCCTCAGCTATGCAACTGGGTGTCAGCATTGTATACGACGCCGACGGCGCGGATCCGCATTAACGGAACCCTCACGCAAGCCTTCCCCATCAGCAATGGCACACGCCAAGGCTGTCCCCTGTCCCCCCTCCTGTTTGCCCTCTCTCTAGAACCATTTCTGGAGGCGGTCAGACAGGACGGGGGCATTACGGGGGTGATGCTGGACACAGAGGTACACAAGGTGACAGCGTACGCGGACGACATGCTGTTTTTCCTAGAACAACCCCTCATCTCTATCCCTAATCTCCTCCAGGCATTCAGCGACTACCGCCAAGTCTCTAATCTGAAATTGAATCTAGACAAATCTGAAGCCCTGCCCTTACTTGACAACGCGGGGTTGGCCGAACGCCTGAGCGCTAAGTTTGGCTTCGCGTGGCGATCGGTCAAGCTGAGGTACCTGGGCACCTGGTTGCCACGCAACCTCTCGCAGTTTTATCAACTGAATTTCCCCCCCCTCCTCGCGAACATCCAAAAGGACCTCCTCAGATGGTCCCCGCAATACCTCACCTGGTTCGGCCGCATACAAGCGCTGAAGATGAATGTCCTCCCCAGACTCCTGTACCTATTCGCGACGCTGCCTACCACAATCCCACAATCATTCTTCCGCACCCTGACACGGGAAATTCGAAGCTTTGTACGGAACCGTTCGGTGTCCCGCATACGCAGGACCACGCTGGAACGGCCAAAGGTTGCGGGGGGAGCCGGGCTCCCCTCCGTGCAGCGATACTACCAGGCCACACACCTGCAGAGGCTAGTTGACTGGCACGCACGCCCAAGCACCAAACGATGGGTGCTCATGGAGACCCAGCAGTCTCAGGGCGCAATCCCAGCCCGAATCTGGCTCGGTTCGGTCACCTATTCGGAACTCCGAACCCAAAACCCACTCATTGACGCCACCCTCGGAGTCTGGTGTAGGCTGCGCTTTTCCCACCAACTCACCACATCACCTAACCCACTCACCCCGATCGCTTACAACCCGAACCTAGCGGGGGGCCTCCCCTCCGCAGCCTTTCGGAACTTCCTCCAGACGGACTGGATCTACTTACACCAATGGATCGTTGACAGGACCCTCAAGCCACTGCCCGATGTCATCACTACCCAGCAACCGACCCCGCTCGATAGGTTCCGCTTCCACCAGGTTAAAACCTATTACACGACCCTACAGGGCAAAGACCACATTCACAGACAACTGACTGACTTCGAACGGCAATGCACAGACAGGAAACATAGAACATGTGGTGTCATACCTCTACACAAGCCTACAGTCACTGAGCAATGACAGCCCACTCGGGTTTACGGAAAAATGGGAACGAGAGACGGGCACACACTTGACTACCCAAGAATGGGAGAAAATCTTTCTCTTAACACACAAATGCTCCATAAGCTCCAAATACCAAGAGATGAGCTATAAATTACTCACACAATGGTATAGGACCCCGGAGGTACTAAAACATATGCACGACACAGCCTCGGGAGAATGCTGGAGATGTAATTCCGCCCCAGGCTCCAATCTCCATATGGTGGTCATGCCCCCGCATAGTCCCATACTGGAAACTGATACACACAAAGATTAAGGAAATCACGGACTCAGACCTCCCACTACAGCCACTGCCAATGCTTCTCCACCACACAACCACTTCTACACAACAATACAAAAAATCCCTTACGATACACCTGCTCTCCGCTGCAAAAAGCCTCATTCCACTACACTGGAAAAGCCAGACAGTACCCACCTACACACAGTGGGTGGATAGGGTGGAGGAAATCCATAATATGGAAATGATGACTGCGTCCCTGCGGGAGCGCTCGGACAAATGTGCTCTCCTCTGGTACCCCTGGACTACCTACACGGCACGGGGACGGACTTAACCCCCAAACTCGCTCCTCCAAGCGATTCCTGACATACCCATTGTTAATCCCACCCCAACTCCACTGTTAGACCCCTGACTCAGACTCCCCCCCCCACCTTCCCCCCTTGGCAGTGCCATGCCAAGACCAAACATCACCAGAGCTTTGACTGCCCATTGGACTGAGCATTCCAAAACCGATCACATATGTAGCTTGCGCCCTCCCCCTCTAAGCAAGGCGTCAACCCACCAAAAATAATGGAGTATAACCGCAAGCCCCTGAATAACATGAACCCACCTAAAACACAAGAGGCACACCTGCGCAGCGCCCTATGCCCCCGACTGTGAAACACCCTGGCTGACACACTGCACGTTAAAGATGCATTGACCTTGGGAAACACACTGAACGCAGCCCTATTCCACCAACAGAACTGACGCTCTATAAAGGTTGATGTCACGCATTGTAATCTGATAATTGTCAACCCCCTTCCCTCCCCCACCCTTTTCTCTTTTTTCTGTCTCCCATCCTGACTTGAAAAACTCAATAAATAAAGAATGTCGAAAAAAAGAAAACTGACCTGGGTCAAAATCTGACTCAGTTTCAGTGGCGTCAGAGTTTGACGCCAAGAAAGCATATGCCTCCTGCAATTTATACATACGCTGTATGTTTTACACACGACAAACACATTTTATACTTTTTTTTTTTTTTTACACTAAAACAGACAATCCCTAAACTAACTCCTGTCACGATCTCTGTCTCTCTCGCCTCACAAAATGCTACAGAGGAGAGAGGGGCAGAGATCACTGTCAAAGTGAGTGTTTGTAACACCCACTTTGACAGCAGCCAATTGTGAGCGATCGCTCACACGCCGCAATTGGCTGTTACTATCTACCTGGGATGTCTGGCAGATAGTTACAGTGTTATACCAGCAGGAGCGATCTTAGATCGCTTCCCGCAGCCCGTTTTTCGCTATGACGGTTCAGGACTGTCAGCGGTCCAAATGCACGTTTTACCGCTGACGATCCTGAACCGTCAGCGGTCCTGAAGGGGTTAAAATATGGCCTAATATCCTTACGTTACAAATTTGTTGTCAGCCCAAGGCACACCTGTGCATTAATCATGCTGTCTAATCAGCATTTTCATATGCCACACCTGTGAGGTGGATTAATTATCTTGGCAAAGGGGAAGTGCTCACTAACACAGATTTAGACAGATTTGTGAACAATATTTGAGAGAAATGGGTCTTCTGTGTACATTGAAAAAGTCTTAGATATTTGAGTTCAGCTCATAAAAAAGGGGGGCAAAAGTGTTGCGTTTATAATTTTGTTCAGTGTAGTTGTAGCAGCCCTTTGGCATCAATAAAGAAGGGAGAAGAGAGCTTCTGACAGGTGCAGTATTTTATGCTTTGCAATGTGTGCAGGAATGCTGTGAACACCACCAACGTCAATATCTTTAGCACAGTGAAAACTATAAACGACATGGAATACAAAATACATTTGCTTACAGAGTTTCACCGAAAGGATTATAAACAGAGTTATACAGTGGAGTTCAGTTACTTGCATACACACAGCGAAACAACATCAAATCATCTTAAGGAATACAGCTCATATATATAGAGTTCCAAACTACAGCGCTTCATATACGATCATTGAATAATATAAGTTAACGGCACAAACGCAATTAATACTGATAACATATACTTTTACAGCGTACTTCGCTCTGCTTGCCAATGGGTGCAATTTGAAACTTTAGAAAACATTAATGTCGACCGACTTCCCATGAGGTACTGCTAGCTTGCTTGGCATCTAAATGCCGGATATAGCGGAAGGAGAAAAATACTTGACTGTGCAAGTTCTGGGGCAACGACTCCAGTGATGTCAGTGTGGAACAACAATTTAAATTTACTAGTAGACACTTACAATAGTAATGATAAACTTTCTATCTTTGTCACAACATATAATTTAGCAGCCACTAAGATTAAAAATGTTATGTAACTCATTCTGAGTACTTTGCAACTCCATGTCTGGATTACCCTTTTAGCTTAGGGAGAGCCCAAGCAATTGCATTGTATGAAAAACAGTATATAAGAACTCGGAGAACATGTATACGATTAGAGAAACTCAGCAACCTGCCTTCGCTTAGTCCAGGCTTGGGCTCTCCCTAAGCTAAAAGGGTAACCCAGACGTGGACCCTGTGCTCACTGTGCTTAGAGGGGTATCAGTTACACCTCACTGACAAGGCCCAAAGAAGTCCAAGACAATCATCTGGATTGCTGTATCTCTCGGCACATGCCAGCATTTTGGTTTGGGATGTCCCTTATGAGTGGGATCAGTCTGATATGTAAAAGTTTCCCTTTGTAATTGCACAAGTGAGCAAAAACATGTTGTCCTCAGCAGGGGCTAATCAAAGGGCAAGATACTGAGTTTCTTAAAGCTTTTGCCCATTCTCAGATTCTCTGTTTAAATTACCATTTTGCACTTGTTTTTCCCGATTTCTTGTCATTCTGAATGATTCATTATGGAGTGTGGACATATACCAAAGTAAGGAACTGCATGGGATGCATCCATTAAATATGTTAAATGCACTTTGTGGACATTTGTTAGATTGTTACTTGTTTGTATTTATCTGCAAATGTAATGCATGGGAATAAGTACAAGGGTGAAAGATCAGATTTATAAGGGTTATAGCTTTTTTTTTTTCTCATTACTCTTTGGCGAGAAAAGTTACAATTGAATTTGGTTGTTAAATTCAACCTAACTCCAAGTTTAGAAAATGAATCAATAAATAATTTATATCAATAATGTTTTTTTTTTTGTGACAGCAGACCATGTTTTCAGTTATATAGGGGTGAAAGTTAACTGTTACTTGTGAAAATGCCTACAGTACATTGTAACTCAACGACTCTGATGACATAGTACTTTAAAATATCCAACAAACCAGCGAGTTTAGCTAATGTGTCAATATTTGCGACCATGTATGCACTAATCAAACTCCAAAGGTTGTAGGATTAACTTTCTAAACAAGTTTCACTTACCACATTCTATGCCAATGATTTTACTACCATGATCTCTGTGGGCTTGTTTTGTCTGTTATTCCTTGTGAATTCTTTGTTTTGGTTAAAGACTGCACCTTGTGGCATTTCAACACACATTGAGATAGGTAAGCCTTACAAAATGATGTGCATATGATATTTTTCAAACTCAGGAAATTTGGTATCCACACAAAAACAGCATTATCTGGACCAGAAATTACGTCTATCTGTCCATCCATCCGTTATCGTATTGGTCATTTGTAGAAATAATAATTGCAAACTATCACAATTTGGTCAGGAAAACCCAACATTCAGATTTATGGAGGTCCGTTCTGTGGTTGGGTCAATATATGAGGTCAGTCAGTGTAATACCATTGCCACCATGTAATTTAGTGTTCAGTTTGGGTATGGACTCACTAGATCCAGAAAACTTGGTATTAGTGACAATAGAGGAAACTTGCTTGGTGTCTCAAAGGTCTTTAAATTAGTTTAGCTCATTGAATTTTGTCTTGCTAATCCCAGGGTGTCAAACTATGTTGCATGCTTATTGAATAAATATATAAAATTGGAAATATATCAATTATACTTTTCCTTTTGTTTTATAATTGATCTTTGGAATGGTTTCTTTATTTGTTTATGTTGAGTAAACTGTCAATATCATTTGTTGTTGTTCGAAAGAATGTCTTTAAATGAATCTCTTTAATGCAGTGTGTTTGTATCTTTTATATAACCTCTGTCTTTATAAACAATTACAATTTTACAGCTTACAGAGCACTGGAACACTTCAGCCAGACTGAAGGAAACTATAATTACGGAGAGGTACATAAACTGTTCAACAATTTTATTTCCTAATTCATCTCATGCAATGAAACAGACTGTGTTCAGAGGTAGACTTGTTCTGATATACATAGCCTTAAATAGAAGACAGACTGCCTTCTTATAAGAGCGGACTGGATCGATGGAACTCTGTATTCAACATCCCAAAAAGAGGCTTCCGTAGTAAAAGTAGTTAAAGACTGTAAATGATTAGCTGAAAAATGAGGTGGGGCTTCTGTCTAAATACTGAATTGCATTGAGTAAAACCAGCAGGATTATTCACGAAACACTGAATTTTGTGTGATTCAGCAGAATTCAATTAAAATCACAGAATAGCAACAGAATTTGCAATTCTCATATTGACTAAAATATTATTTAACCAGATGAGTAGACTTGATAGGCATATCCGGTGTCAATTTTAAAACCAGTAATGGGAAGCCTATTCAAAATATACAATCGTCATGTTTATCAAAACATTTTACCAGAATGGATACATTGAGAGAGATATATAGATATATACCAACTCTTTTGGTTGGTTGGTTGGTTGGTTGTGCTGGGGGGGGGGGGCAAGTGTGGATGAAAACCCCTTCCACCTGAAGTAAGTGGATAGTTAATACATTGCTAAAGACAAATACACATACCAGTCAAGCCATAAAACTTGCTTTTCCCACAGAAATCTCAATATAACAGTGCTCTCACTACTGCAAGGGATTCTGGGTAGGCGTATGCAAATGAGCTCAACAAAGAACCAATTTTTGCCTCATAATTCCACTTTATACATGGATTTCTTGGAGTCTGGGTCTGCTGTATACAACACATTGCTAAACACAAATACACACACCAGTCAAGCCACAGGACTTGCTTTTCACATTTCAATCCACGTGCCGTGTGGAGTGTTGCCATGGTAACAAAGTAAGGTATTAGGATGTATGCCTACCAAATTCCCCGTTAACTGACAAATAAGTTTCCCTGTGTGTACATAGAACCTAGAAAAGTTGGAAATTAGACTTTAATTTCTTTCATGGTATATTAAACTCCAAATTCAGAAAATCCCACGTTAAAGGGACACTATAGTTACCAGAAACAACTTTAGTTTAATAAAGCAGTTTTGGTGTATAGATTATGCCCCTGCCACCTGCGGTCTCAATTTTTAATTTTCTGCCATTTAGGAGTTAAATCAGTTTGTTTATGCAGCCCTAGTACCACCTTCCCTGCATGTGTCCTATACACTGTCGTTACACGTTTCCTGTAAAAAGATGTCTAATGGTTAAACCTTTATTGCACAGTCTGTTTAATTTAGAATTTCATATCTCCTAGTTTGTTGATAATTTATTAGATCCTGCAGGAATCTCCTATGCTGTCCTTGTGGACTCGGCTCTTGTAAAATGTAGCTGGATTGATCGTCACTGTTGAATCTTCTTAATTTCCTCTTGTCTTCAGTTGTAGAAAATAGTCTTTTGCCAAATGTGCTCGCTAGATTAATATATGTCTATAGTAATGAAAAGTATTAATACGCAATCTGACTTACGGTTTCTTCAGGTTTATTCTTAGTTACTGATACATAATAAAACAACAAATGATGTTACAGGATAATGTATTTCAACAGCAGATGGTAATTGCTGGACTCCTGAAGGGAGAGTTACATCCTTACATCTTTACATCGAGAGAGAGCCAAGAACCTTGTGTCACTCTGTTACTATATAGATGTGCCCATACTGACATCAGAGTTTAACTCTATCCATATAAGGACAAGACCCCCAAATCCACATTCCAGAGCTCTCAGACAAAGAAAGAGTTGTGACTTATACCATCTGTTACTTATGTCAATCCACACATCCATATATAATCAATAGAAACATAGAATATGCAATATTCTACAGCTCTAAATGCCGGGGGTGACATAGCACGTCCCCGCCGTCCTATGTACTTACCTGGTCGCCGGCGATCCCATCTCAGGGAGTCCCCCTGCTGCCATTCCGGCCCTCCTGGGCCATGTGATCGCGAGGTCCTTGCGAAGCCCTCACTATCGCATGGACGGCATAGCCGTACACAGCAGTGCCAGCAGGGGGAGTCCCCCTGCTGCTTGTAAAATGTAAAAAAAGGTTAAAACAGTTTAAAATAAAATTATATATACTTAGATCATATATATATTTTGTTATATATATGATCTAAGTATATATATATATATATACACACATACACATACATATACATACACTAAGTGTATTTTAATATTAATATATATAGATATATATTAATATCAAAATACATGTAGAATGATATTGATTAAATATATATACAATTATATATATATATTTATATATAACATAAAATAAATATGTAAATACATTAAAAAATAAAAATATAATAAAAAATAAATAAAAAGTATTTATATATATATACACGTGTAATTTCATTCTAACGGTATTTTGATATTAATATATATATTGATATCAAAATACGCGTAGAACGAAATAATATATATCTATATACATAAGTATGTATGTATATATCACTTTATATATATATATATATATACCTATATATAAATAAAAATAATTAAAATATACAAAAGTTTTCAAAAGTTACAGAGTCAAATATAAGGCTTGTGTTTCAGTTTTTTCACATTGAAATTCGCCAGATTGGTTACGTTGCCTTTGAGACCGTATGGTAGCCCAGGAAAGAAAATTACCCCCATGATGGCATACCATTTGCAATAGTAGACAACCCAAGGTATTGCAAATGGGGTATGTCCAACCTTTTTAGTAGCCACTTAGTCACAAACACTGGCCAAAATTGGTGTTCAAATTAGTTTTTAGCATTTTTCACACACAAACAAATATTAACAGTAACTTTGGCCAGTGTTTGTGATCAAGTGGCTACTAAAAAAGACTGGACATACCCCATTTGCAATACTTTGGGTTGTCTACTATTGCAAATGGTCTCCATCATGGGGTTAATTCTCATTCATGGGCTACCATACGGTCTCAAAGGCAACATAACCAATCTGGCGAATTTCAATATGAAAAAAATGAAAAATGTAACATGCTATATTTGACCCTGTAACTTCCCAAAATACCATAAAACCTGTACATAGGGAGTACTGTTTTACATGTGAGACTTTGCTGAATACAAATATGTGTATTTTATTGCAGTAAAAGCAAACAGTATTATGACATTGACAGTTAAAATGTCATGTAAAACTAAAAAAATAAAGTCTTATTTTCTCCCATTTTTTAAAATATTTTATTCATATTAAATTATGTTTCATACCTAAATATTTGATGTTAAAAGAAAACCTTGTTTGTCCTGAATAAAATGATATATAATAAGTGTGGGTGCACTTACTATGAAAGAGGTGAATTACGGTTGAACGGACATATAGCGCAAATTCCAGATTTTGTTTATGTTTTGTTTTGATCACAACGTGTACATTTGGCTCAGTCCTTTAAGGGGTTAATGATGGCATATTTTGTTGATGTCAATAAATGTATCTTGTTCTTCTCTCCTTAGCTTTTACAGAAACATCCAGAAGCTTTCCAGGCAGGGAGTGTATATCCTGATGCTTTTTACCAAAATATTTGTAAGAATGGTAAGTGACGAGATTTTAGTTTCCTGTACCTGGCCTGACAGGAAGCTGTTCGGCACTGTCAGGCTGGGTAGAGCAAGTGACCGGCAGGGTGGGAATGCATTGCACTTCCCTCCTTCCGTTCACCCGATGATAGCTCCACCAAGGCTAGTTCGCCTAGTGGTTGTGTTGGTCTTGTGAATGATTGTGGCAGGGTAAGAGAGGGGGTAACTTATGGGAGCTGATGTGCCACTCTGCCTACTTGGAAATCTGTTCCCGCCTCTTACCTTAGATACCTTCTTGGAGCAACTTTTTAACATAGCAAATGTTTCTGCAACATCATTAATGTGTCACTCCCTTATCAAAGGCATTTTAAAGGAATACTATAACTATATGTGGAGACACTGACAAAAAAAGCTCCTCTAGTGGCCGTCTGAGTGACTGCCACTGGAAGTGTCACTACGCACCAATGTAAACACTGCCTTTTCTCTGAAAAAGCAGTGTTTTCATTGCTGAGCCTGCAGGGACAGGCTACAGACATTAGAACCACTACATTAAGCTATAATAGTTCTGGTGACTATAATGTCCCTTTAAGTTCAACTTTTTAAAGTCAGTGTTTTTAAATGTATATGTAATTTGCCATGCCTAAGATAATAAAAAGAAGAAACATTGCTGAAGGATTAAATATTCATTATAAGGACACTCTACCACTCCACCCCCCCCCCAAAAAAATAAATGAAAATCACTGTTTAATTGTTATAACCGCCCCCCCCCAATGAAAATATGCATGCAATTAATTACACATTTTTTTCATTGAGGGTTTATCTAAAGACAGCTTGCAAATGCTGCAGATCTCTTGTCTGCAGCCCTTATAACGCTTTCCTTTTTCCCTAGCCCAGCGTTTCTGTTGCTGTCCAATTACAGGCTTCTTAATACTGCTCAGTGCAAGGCAGGTATTCTTAAGTGGGCATTTGCCTCATAAAGGTCCACGCCAGACCCCAAAAGCACTTAATCTTGCTGAAGTGCTTTATGGGTGAGGAGTACCCTAGTTTAACCATAATTTATAAAAGTGCTTACTTCTAAATTAACTAGGGTGTGCGTGAACGAGCTGACGTGTGTGCAAGCAATGGTGCTCAATGAGAAGTCTCTTCAAGGAAAAAAGGGCAGGGCTTACAAAGGCTGCAGTTCACAAGAACTGCAGCCTTTGCAAGCTCTTTCAAGATATACCCCCAATTAATACATGCATAAAAAATTCATGTCTGATTGACAGACACCAGTAAGGGTGTGTAATAAGGTTAATTTACAAATGTGTCAAATTCTATTGAAATCTGCACTTTTTGCAAAATGAAAAAAATGAGGATCACTCTAAACATATGAAGCATTTCAGTGAGCTAAAGTGGTTTAGGTGTTTGGAGTGTTTATTTACCAAGCTGTGATATTGTATAACATGGTTAATGTGTTTTTCTGTATATGTGCATATGGAAATTTATGCGTTATTATTAATTTCTCACATTACTTTCCCAAGTTATTACTCACTATACTTGGTTAATGAATTAATGGGTTTAATGAAACAGTCTAAAAAATATTTTTAATGGACACATGGGTCATAATATAATGGTTTATTAACACAAACAAGACATCCTTAACATCAACTATTTGTAATGGTTTGCCTTTGCAGGAAAATATCATGCACTGTCTGAAGATTCGCACTGGACACCTTTCCTGAAGACCAGTATTAATTATATCAGAAAAGTCTATCCACGGCCATGGAACGAGGTACAAATCTTTGAAAATAAATGTTGAAATCTATCAACGCATGAGTACATGTGTATTATAACCATTAATATAATATTTTTGTAGTGTAAAAATTGATATAATGTACTTTACTGGGTTTTTTTTACATTAAGAATTGAACATTCAGGAATATTTATATAATAAACTATTTATTATGGAAATAAAGCATGGTGAGACAGTTTATCTTACAATCACACATATTGGGATTTTCAGACAAATTCAGACAAATATAAAATGTATATTCTGTATTATATTTGCCTCCATGCACTGACACAAAAAATAATGTTTTATACTTAAAGAACATAAGGGAGTTCATAATTTTAAAATAAAAATACGTATAAGTTTGATTAATTAAAATAAATGTCCATTGTGATTTAGCATTAAATAAAATTCACTGGATTCATAACCTTGTGAAATGTGCTGTGTACACATATGCCAAAGAGTACACATAACACTCTTCTATAAAGAAAAAAAAGAAACAACAAATAATTATAAAATTTTATTTTTAAAAAGAGGATTAGCTTCTATAAGTATACTATATTTTTACATACTTTATTCTAAGGTTCTGTGCTTTCTCCTATGAAAGGGTGCCCAGAAACTGGTTGCTTTTCTGTTTGGCATTGCATCCCACATGGTGACTGATGTGAGCTGGCACAGCCTGGACATTGACCAAGGATTCCTTAGGGCTATGGGTGAAGTGAGTAGTACAAGACTGAAAAGCAATGGTTGCTTATTTATTGTTAATTTTGGCTCTTGCATGACTTCTTTAAAAAAAAAAAAAGCAGGAATCCGCCTTGCAGGGCGTGAAATATTTGTACATAAAAATTAATTTCTACAAAAATACCATGGGATGTCTTCTTCAAGAAATGGTATGCCTTTATGGTGTAGTTGGGTTATATAGCCTGGTAAAATACTCTAAAATGGGACATGGACACAGCGTAAAAATGTAAAGTTTGGAAAAAAAACTGGAATGGCTGTTTCTCAAATATGCCCCTTCGATGTCCACATATACCTGGCAAAGGTACATATGGGGGTGTAACGGACCGTTTTGCACAAAAGGGGAAAAAAACGTTTAGGCGATCGGCCCCCTTTCCAGAGATACAGGCACAGCTACTGCAGAACACCAAACTCCCGAACTGGATACAAAATAGCACTCCAACTCCCGAACTGGAACCTCCCAAATAGCTGCTAGCAGACGAACAGGAAAAGCAGACAATCAGCTTACACTCCTGGCAATCAGTCTCTAACAGCATACAGTGAATCCCCCCAAGAACGAGACAAGGCTCTGTGTTGAGGGTCAAGCAGTGGTCTGAGGTGCTGGCACACCCAGCCTGGTTTTTATTACAGTCTTGCAAATACAGGACCGCCCACAGGGAGGTATAAAACAACCAATCACATCACAGTTACATCCCACATATTCCCTCCCCTTATCCTGAGAGGAAACTCAATTACACATACAGTTAAAACATACTTTCTACCCAACTTTCATAACTCTAAAACCATACATCACATTCACATAAAATTACATATTCACAATCAATCCATTCAGGGGAACAACATATTAAAAATGGCATGAATCAGACCAGGGGTTCAAAAGTTAGTAAAAAGTCCTTTGTGACTAAATGAAGCATGGCTTTCTGGCCCAAACCAGTTTCAGAGTCTTCTATCCTGGAGAGTAATTCAATTATCTCCCAGGACAGACACAAGACTCCATTAAGCACATGGTTGCAAAAAGACACAAAACACTTTAAAATACATAAAGTCACATTTATTACATAAAACACAGACATGTAACATATCCCCAGATAGCTCAGGTCTGAGCGCACATTATTAAGTGAATGGCGCTCAGACCACACGAATACAGTTTAATCGCCATGGAGCCAAAGTCTTTACAGTCAGTTTCATACGAATGGGCTCCATGGGATTCCTATCTGGGGTGTAACACATTCAAACAAATCTACCGAACCCCAGGCAGAAAAGCACGAATGAAGCTTTTCTGCAGGTAAAAAAAGATGTCTTTTAACAGGGGGCCATAGTCCAAAGGCAGCAGGCGAGCAACCAGGCTTCTCCAATGCAATGTGGCGAGATTGGTCTCGTCACAGGGGGTATTGCTGTATTTAGCCAACATAGCTGAGCAACATATGATGTATTATACAGTCATAGCACACATAAGGTTTGCAAAATATACTGTGCAAACTCACTTTGTATGTCAAAAAGGCAGAAAAAATGCTTATTACCACTACACTTGGTACAAGCTAGTGGAGAATGAATCCCACGCTGAGGCTCAAAATATGTCTTTTGAAATATCCTGGGATGTCTTCTTTAAGAAATGGTATGGCTTTATGCTGCAGTTGGAATATGTAGCCTGCTCAAGTGCTTCAAAGTGGGACACGGACGCATCAAAACCCTCCATGGAAATTCACTCTTAAACTTGTCATGTCTCTTTTACAGCACTGTAACTTCACAAAATAGAGTCTAGGTCATACATTAGGCATATTGTTTTAATCAGAAGATGTAACTGAGCATAATGTGGGAGATTTTATGACAGTGGTACATATCAAGTGTAAGAAATACTCATCAAAAATGCAACATGTATGTAAAAATGCCATTTCCCCCACCCCCTCACCACAAACATTGACATAAATTGAAAGCCCTTTGTGGGGTTATTTGAACAGTCACACTGCTATGATACTCTAAACCAGAGGGTCTCAACCTGTGGGTTGTGACCCCTTTAGGGGTCGAACGACCCTTTCACAGTGGTCACCTAAAACCATCGGAAAACACATATTTCTGATGGTCTTGGGAACCGAGACGCCGCCCCTCTATTCCTCTACAGGCGGGTTCGCCCACATGCAGATACGCCCAGATACGAGTACCCGGCATGATGACATCATCGTGTCAGCCCCATAAAGTTTACAGGGAAATTGTTTACTCTTTGAGAAGCCTCAGAATATTTGCACATGCCTCGTCTGGAGGAGATGAAGTATGCTGATCTGAGGTCTGTCAGCAGCAATGGGGGAAAAGGTGGTGTGCTAAAATAGAGGCTTCTTGACACTTTTATTCAATCAAGTGAGCCAACGGTAGGAAGAAGAAATCCTCCCTGGCAGTAATACAAGTTTCTAATTCTAATAACAGTGCCGATTTCTCAAAGAAACTGGAACTTTTATAAATTGGCTTTAAAATAGGTTACTTCATAGACATAAAGCACTTTGCCAAGTTTTAGTGTTTTGTGTGTGGAGTGGTCCTTAAACACAGAATAGACATTTGTAAACATTGCAATATTTGGAAAAAAGTACATGTAATATTATATTTGAAATGAGTGGTAAACCTGGAACCCAATTTTATGGTTGTAAAAATGGCGATAATTTAAAGGGACACTATAGTCACCCAGACCACTTCAGCTCAATGAAGTGGTCTGGGTGCCAGGTCCCTCAGGTTTTAACCCTTCACATGTAAACATAGCAGTTTCAGAGAAACTGCTATGTTTACAGAGCAGGGATAAACCAGCCTCTAGTGGCTGTCTTCTGGACAGCCACTAGAGGTGCATCTGTGACGCTGGAGGCTCATTTCGCCTCCATCGCGCAGAGCATCAATAGGAAAGCATTGCGTAATGCTTTCCTATGGACACTTTGAATGCGCAAGTGGCACTTGCGGCGCATGCGCATAAGGCTCCGCTGACGTCGGTGGGGGAGGAGAGATAACCAGCGCCGAGGGAGCCCGGCGCTGGATTAAGGTAAGCTGCTGAAGGGGTTTTAACCCTCAGGGCACTATAGTGATCGTTTAAAAAAATATTTTTTTTAATCAATAGCACTCTTTACACGGCAGTATGGGGACTAGTCAACTTTATATTAGCTTTAACATTACTATGTAGCACAGCCTTAATGATCAATCAAAATGACAGAAGCACAAATTAATAAAAATAAATAAATAAATGTTATTTCTCAGTGTTATCCACTGTCAATACTGCCCTTCCCCAAAACAAAAACAAAAATTAAAACAAAACAAAAAATAAAAAGTTGAATTGAAGACAACTACAGTATTTACAACCTGTTTCCAAGCACACTTACATGTAACCAGTTTTTTGGTTTTTTTTAATTGCTGGTAAAGAAACCTTGTATGTTATTTTGGAACAAAAACAAAGCCAATATTACTAATATTGGTAATGTTTAATTCTAATAGTGCCTTCTCTATTATAAATTGTGGGAAAAGTGGTCTTTATATAGCCTTCATTATATAGCCTTCATTATATAGCCTTCATTATATAGCCTTCTTTATATAGCCTTCTTTATATAGCCTTCATTATATAGCCTTCTTTATATAGCCTTCATTATATAGCCTTCATTATATAGCCTTCATTATATAGCCTTCTTTATATAGCCTTCATTATATAGCCTTCTTTATATAGCCTTCTTTATATAGCCTTCTTTATATAGCCTTCATTATATAGCCTTCTTTATATAGCCTTCTTTATATAGCCTTCTTTATATAGCCTTCTTTATATAGCCTTCTTTATATAGCCTTCTTTATATAGCCTTCTTTATATAGCCTTCTTTATATAGCCTTCATTATATAGCCTTCTTTATATAGCCTTCTTTATATAGCCTTCATTATATAGCCTTCTTTATGGCCAGCTTCTTTTACTTCTTTATATGGCCTTTGTTATGGCCTTCGTTATGGCCTTCTTTATATGGCCTTCTTTATATAGCCTTCATTTATATGGCCTTCTTTTATATAGCCTTCAACATGTAGCCTTCATTATATAGCCTTCTTTATATAGCCTTCTTTATCTATAGCCTTCATTATATATGCTTCTTTATATGGCCTTCTTTATATATGGCCTTCTTTGTATGGCCTTCATTATATGGCCTTCTTTATGGCCTTCATTTATATGGCCTTCTTTTATATAGTATTCATTATATGGCCTTCTTTATATGTAGCCTTCATGTTGTGGTCGTGACTTAAATATGAATATTAATCTCTTAATGCATAATAATTAAGCAATACGGAACAACATTAATATTTTTATAATTCATGGTATTATGGTCGAATATGTGGATAGAAAATACACAAAACGTTGTAATATTAAATGTATATTTAATATAACTATAACAAATAAACAGATGCTAGCAGAATGTTAATTTCAATAATTATACAATACAATACTACACAAAACACTATTGGTTGCTAAATATTATACAAAAGGCTATTACAATTGCTAACTGTTACAATACAAACATATTACTTACATGGCCCCAGCCCTTTGGCTGGGGTTAAGTCAGAGCTGGTACTACATCTTAGGTTCAGTCAGTTACAGGCAAAGGGGCAAAGAGCCAGAGTTTTCTCCTCCATCTGGTTTTATTCAGTGTAAGTAGGCTGGCCTGTGATGTCACTGCCAGAAGCACATGTCTTCCTACACACTCCCCCTAGTGGTGCCCCCAAAGCATTACACTAAATATGCTTTCTTTATGATGTAAAGTCATTAATTAATAAATACCATTACAAACCACCCTTTGACATGTCATAAAACAAGAATTTATAAAACCAGTACATTTTGAATCTTCCCCATTTTAACACTACCTGCCCTACAACAAAACCCACCTTTTGAAGAACGATACCCATTTACCCATTAATTATTACCCATTAACATTTTATTGCTTATATAAATGTTCACCATTGAACACATGCATTACCAGTTGGGAAATAGGCACATACCCACCCTTATAATAATGAACAACTCAAACCATGTTTTATTAGATTAACCAATGATATTGTGTTCATGTGAGGATGTGTTTTGGAGCTTAATATAGTATTAGACACCACAAACTCATAACACCTATGAATCATGTCACAGACCGACTCGATTTCTGTAGCCTCTGGCTGGTCTGTGTGCCTGGAATTTTCACAAACATTAGTCCTGGAAACTGGATACTCTATTCTTCGACAGTCTCATAGAACATACGCACTGAGACAGGGATGAATGAAACAGTTCATGTGATCAAGGACTTTTGTGTGTTTGTGGTCACATTGTTTTGTTTTTTCTTTCTTTATACCATTAACCACCTTGACGTAACAGTGTCCTGCTCCTGATGCATTTGTTCCGACTCTCACCCCTCTTAGCTGCAATATTTTTTCTCCTTACAGCGACAGTTGAGCATAGTGTCCAGTGCTTCTTCTTCTTCAGCTTAAAATATCCTTGCTTGAAAGTTCTTGAATGAAAACACAGGCAATGACGAACACAAACATAAATAATAACTGTGCCAATCATCACAAGTACCATTTGATTGTGGTGTCTTAACCATATATTTTTTTTTTTCCTATGGCGTTTGGATAAATACCTACACACCTCTCTTCACATCCAGCACACTCCTGATTCACAGAGAAACACAATATCACTGCTGTATCTACCAATTTAACCCAAACACTCGTTATTACTGCTGCATTTACCAATTTAATCTAAACACTCGTTATCACTGCCGTATTTAACCAATTTAATCTAAACATTAACCAAAACAATTACATTCCTATTTACCACCCTTCTATTTAAACATGTATAGATAACCCAAAATGCCTACTTTCTCTTATCCCTCTTATTTTTGTTTTTTGTTTTTTGAACTGCAACCACTCATGCACTTTACACAGACACAAATCAAGCACCTACTGGACAATGGGGTTCCCTCGTTAGAGCCCTCCCACCCCAGTTTGGTTTACACAAAAATACCCCCTGGTCCCTATGGGTCAATTCCCCCCTTTCCCAGGCAAGCATACATACAACAATAATAATACATAAGGGTTTCAATTGCAATACAATCACTAGAAATAAGAGAACAGTATGCACAAAATCATAGAATAGACATGTTAAATAGACAATAAAATAAAACATTCAATAGCTCATCAAAGGTCAACATTTAAACACTGGTCTCCATCTGATATTCTATCTGTGTTCCAATGTCCACCCCTGGTTTCTGCTATATCTGAAAAAAGGTAAGAAAACAGATCAGGATTACTTTTCCTTGTCACTTATAGCGTATACTGCCAAATCCTTTACTTAGCATATATACATATAAATACATTCCCTAAACTTTTCATTTTATAAACAATTTGTTCAACAAGGTAACTTTCTTAATTTTCTACTTGGCTCTTAAAATAAACAATCAGCTAATAGCTGCTTTCTGCATCTTCTCTGCAATTCAGGAAACACATTTCTAGCCAACCTAAACATGTTTAATAACTCTCCACCCTTTGGTTAAATTATAGAGGAGTGAACCACAACACCTCTTCCGCCTCTGAAAGGATATAGGTCAATATGTCTCAAAGTTCAACACTTCTGACAGCTATGAGTGACTCCCTATTAATTTCTAGCCTTTCCACGGACATGCTTGCACCTCGCGGCTAAGGGCCTGCACAACTAACCACCCTGTGATGGCAGTGGCTTTCCGCATGGGGGTGACCGCCCCCGCAAAATTATAGAGGAGCAAACATACAGCAGCCTCTTTTCCGGCTCGATTAAAGGTTCTGGGCCAATATGTCTGCAATTTAACCAGTACACTCACGTATCACTTATTGTATATTTCCTGGTCTCTCAGGAATTTCTATTAAATAGCGTATCCCCTTCCCAGGGCAATATACAACAAAAACTAGTCACCAAGGGTCTCTATGGTCATGATAGGCCACCCTACCACTAGTGTAATACGCCCTTTTTTTAAAAATATATTTCCTGGTCTCTCAGAGATTTTGCCTATCCCTTTCCCAGAGCAATATATATAAACAATTACAAATAAGTTACAAAACGCTACTTATAAGTAATACAGGGTTTCAAATAATAATACAGGATAGAACTGCACAACAACTATTGGGTATGCTCCCCCTTATCCGGACACGTTTAAATACCCCCTAGCTCAGGTTCCCCACCCGCTACTGTAACTAAAATCACAGCCCACGTTATGGAGGTTCACCCGCTAGGCAGATACACCCTAATTCAAAGCATGGAAATATTAAAATCAGTTATAGATGGCTTCTAAAATAATATAAATCTTAATCTGAGCCCCTACACTTACTTTGTTAAAAATGCTAACTTGTTAAAATATTCAGACTAAATAGGACAAAGGAATTATTTTACCATTTTTCAGTTCATTTGTTACCAGTTCCTGCATATGTCCAGTAATTCCTTAGTCCTGGATAATAAAGCTGAAAAACACTCCACAAATTGATTAGCTTAGGCAATTACATTTACAAAACAATGCAGTTTATTTTTTCTCATACAGGCAAGACTACCCACCCCCAACAAGGACAAATTCTCCCCCAGCTGTAGCTGAAAAGCATGGTCACACAGCTGTTAAAAAGGTGGTCTCTCCTTCATGAGTCAAAATCATATATATTTATACTAATATTCTGTGTATACGCACACATAAATCTATTATTCACTGAATCTGCTTTACTAAACGTATCTTTTTCTTAACTACTAATTTAATACATTTGTCCAAATCTCTTTTCAACTAGACAAATCCATGAATACCAAACAAATGTAAATTAGTACACAAACAGGGTCAAATTTAGCAATAAAACCTGGTGAACTAGTTTAGTGAAAAGTCTTTTCCTATGCAAATGGTAGCAAACAATGAAACTAGGCCTCAACTCATTCACACCATGTGGTCAATGGTGGATTAAAATCCACATGGTCAGACAAAAAGTAAAATAGTTTTTTGTTTTATATATAAAAATGACCAAAGGTTGGTAAAACGTAACAAGCAACACAATAATTCATCACTATGTTCTACAACAAGAGATACCTTAAAAAACAAATATCTAATCCCTATCTGCTATCTGCATTCATTCCATTAAAACCAAATCATCATTCATTTATTCATTTGTATACAGACAGACAATTTACAGTATGATTTAAGCAAAATGCATAACATTTATATTTTCCCCAATATTCAAGCATAATCCTGCCGACTACGCCAAATGTTGTGGTCGTGACCTAAATATGAATATTAATCTCTTAATACATAATAATTAAGCAATACGGAACAACATTAATATTTTTATAATTCATGGTATTATGGTCGAATATGTGGATAGAAAATACACAAAACGTTGTAATATTAAATGTATATTTAATATAACTATAATAAATAAACAGATGCTAGCGGAATGTCAATTTCAATAATTATACAATACAATACTACACAAAACACTATTGGTTGCTAAGGCTATTACAATTGCTAACTGTTACAATACAAACATATTACTTACAAGGCCCCAGCCAAAGGGCTGGGGCTAAGTCAGAGCTGCTACTACATCTTTCAGGTACAGGCAAAGAGGCAAAGAGAGAGAGTTTTCTCCTCCATCTGGTTTTATTCAGTGTAAGTAGGCTGGCCTGTGATGTCACTGCCAGAAGCACATGTCTTCCTACACACTCCCCCTAGTGGTGCCCCCAAAGCATTACACTAAATATGCTTTCTTTATGATGTAAAGTCATTAATTAATAAATACCATTACACTTCATTATATAGCCTTCATTATATAGCCTTCATTATATAGCCTTCTTTATATAGCCTTCATTATATAGCCTTCTTTATATAGCCTTCTTTATATAGCCTTCATTATATAGCCTTCTTTATATAGCCTTCTTTATATAGCCTTCATTATATAGCCTTCTTTATATAGCCTTCATTATATAGCCTTCATTATATAGCCTTCATTATATAGCCTTCTTTATATAGCCTTCTTTATATAGCCTTCATTATATAGCCTTCTTTATATAGCCTTCTTTATATAGCCTTCTTTATATAGCCTTCATTATATAGCCTTCTTTATATAGCCTTCATTATATAGCCTTCATTATATAGCCTTCTTTATATAGCCTTCATTATATAGCCTTCTTTATATAGCCTTCATTATATAGCCTTCTTTATATAGCCTTCATTATATAGCCTTCATTATATAGCCTTCATTATATAGCCTTCTTTATATAGCCTTCATTATATAGCCTTCTTTATATAGCCTTCTTTATAAAGCCTTCTTTATATAGCCTTCATTATATAGCCTTCTTTATATAGCCTTCTTTATATAGCCTTCATTATATAGCCTTCTTTATATAGCCTTCATTATATAGCCTTCATTATATAGCCTTCATTATATAGCCTTCTTTATATAGCCTTCATTATATAGCCTTCTTTATATAGCCTTCTTTATATAGCCTTCTTTATATAGCCTTCTTTATATAGCCTTCATTATATAGCCTTCTTTATATAGCCTTCATTATATAGCCTTCATTATATAGCCTTCTTTATATAGCCTTCTTTATATAGCCTTCTTTATATAGTCTTCTTTATATAGCCTTCTTTATATAGCCTTCTTTATATAGCCTTCTTTATATAGTCTTCTTTATATAGTCTTCTTTATATAGCCTTCTTTATATAGCCTTCTTTATATAGCCTTCATTATATAGCCTTCTTTATATAGCCTTCTTTATATAGCCTTCATTATATAGCCTTCTTTATATAGCCTTCTTTATATAGCCTTCTTTATATAGCCTTCATTATATAGCCTTCTTTATATAGCCTTCTTTATATAGCCTTCATTATATAGCCTTCATTATATAGCCTTCTTTTATATAGCCTTCTTTATATAGCCTTCCTTTATATAGCCTTCTTTATATAGCCTTCTTTATATAGCCTTCTTTATATAGCCTTCTTTATATAGCTTCTTTATATAGCCTTCTTTATATAGCCTTCTTTATATAGCCTTCTTCTTTATATAGCCTTCTTTATATAGCCTTCTTTATATAGCCTTCTTTATATAGCCTTCTTTATATAGCCTTCTTTATATAGCCTTCTTTATATAGCCTTCATATATATAGCCTTCTTTATATAGCCTATAGCCTTCTTTATATAGCCTTCATATAGCCTTCTTTATATAGCCTTCATTATATAGCCTTCTTTATATAGCCTTCTTTATATAGCCTTCTTTATATAGCCTTCATTATATAGCCTTCATTATATAGCCTTCTTTATATAGCCTTCTTTATATAGCCTTCATTATATAGCCTTCTTTATATAGCCTTCTTTATATAGCCTTCTTTATATAGCCTTCTTTATATAGCCTTCTTTATATAGCCTTCTTTATATAGCCTTCTTTATATAGCCTTCATTATATAGCCTTCTTATATAGCCTTCTTTATATAGCCTTCTTTATATAGCCTTCTTTATATAGTCTTCTTTATATAGCTTCTTTATATAGCCTTCTTTATATAGCCTTCTTTATATAGTCTTCTTTATATAGCTTCTTTATATAGCCTTCTTTATATAGCCTTCATTATATAGCCTTCATTATATAGCCTTCTTTATATAGCCTTCTTATATAGCCTTCATTATATAGCCTTCTTTATATAGCCTTCTTTATATAGCCTTCTTTATATAGCCTTCTTTATATAGCCTTTTTTATATAGCCTTCTTATATAGCGCCTTTCTATTATATAGCCTTCTTTTATATAGCCTTCTTTATATAGCCTTCTTTATATAGTCTTCTTTATATAGCCTTCTTTATATAGCCTTCTTTATATAGCCTTCTTATATAGCCTTCTTTATATAGCCTTCTTTATATAGCCTTCTTTATATAGCCTTCATTATATAGCCTTCTTTATATAGCCTTCTTTATATAGCCTTCTTTATATAGCCTTCATTATATAGCCTTCATTATATAGCCTTCATTATATAGCCTTCTTTATATAGCCTTCTTTATATAGCCTTCATTATATAGCCTTCTTTATATAGCCTTCTTTATATAGCCTTCTTTATATAGCCTTCTTTATATAGCCTTCTTTATATAGCCTTCTTTATATAGCCTTCTTTATATAGCCTTCTTTATATAGCCTTCATTATATAGCCTTCTTTATATAGCCTTCTTTATATAGCCTTCTTTATATAGCCTTCATTTATATAGCCTTCATTATATAGCCTTCATTATATAGCCTTCTTTATATAGCCTTCTTTATATAGCCTTCTTTATTATATAGCCTTCTTTATATAGCCTTCATTATATAGCCTTCTTTATATAGCCTTCTTTATATAGCCTTCTTTATATAGCCTTCTTTATATAGCCTTCATTATATAGCCTTCTTTATATAGCCTTCTTTATATAGCCTTCTTTATATAGCCTTCATTATATAGCCTTCTTTATATAGCCTTCTTTATATAGCCTTCTTTATATAGCCTTCATTATATAGCCTTCATTATATAGCCTTCTTTATATAGCCTTCTTTATATAGCCTTCTTTATATAGCCTTCTTTATATAGCCTTCTTTATATAGCCTTCTTTATATAGCCTTCTTTATATAGCCTTCTTTATATAGCCTTCTTTATATAGCCTTCTTTATATAGCCTTCATTATATAGCCTTCTTTATATAGCCTTCTTTATATAGCCTTCATTATATAGCCTTCTTTATATAGCCTTCTTTATATAGCCTTCATTATATAGCCTTCTTTATATAGCCTTCTTTATATAGCCTTCATTATATAGCCTTCTTTATATAGCCTTCTTTATATAGCCTTCTTTATATAGCCTTCATTATATAGCCTTCTTTATATAGCCTTCATTATATAGCCTTCTTTATATAGCCTTCTTTATATAGCCTTCTTTATATAACCTTCTTTATATAGCCTTCTTTATATAGCCTTCTTTATATAGCCTTCTTTATATAGCCTTCTTTATATAGCCTTCATTATATAGCCTTCTTTATATAGCCTTCTTTATATAGCCTTCATTATATAGCCTTCTTTATATAGCCTTCTTTATATAGCCTTCTTTATATAGCCTTCTTTATATAGCCTTCTTTATATAGCCTTCTTTATATAGCCTTCTTTATATAGCCTTCTTTATATAGCCTTCATTATATAGCCTTCTTTATATAGCCTTCTTTATATAGCCTTCTTTATATAGCCTTCATTATATAGCCTTCTTTATATAGCCTTCATTATATAGCCTTCTTTATATAGCCTTCATTATATAGCCTTCATTATATAGCCTTCTTTATATAGCCTTCTTTATATAGCCTTCTTTATATAGCCTTCATTATATAGCCTTCTTTATATAGCCTTCTTTATATAGCCTTCATTATATAGCCTTCTTTATATAGCCTTCTTTATATAGCCTTCTTTATATAGCCTTCATTATATAGCCTTCTTTATATAGCCTTCTTTATATAGCCTTCTTTATATAGCCTTCGCACTGACGTTGGCTTTTTACGCATACTGACGCAAAATGTAGCAATGTAGTTTACTGTTGTTATATTAACACTGTTCCCCATGCTACACCGTGCTTCAAGACAAAATTTAATTTATTTGTAATTAGAAATAAATATTTCACAATATATAATTACATATTGTTTTTGTGATTAATCACTATGCCTTAATTACGTTCAATTTGTAACAATGAAAATTCATCCTGCATCTCAGATATTTACATTACGATTCATAAAAGTAACAAAATTACAGTTATGAAGTAGCAACAAAAATAATTTTATGGTTGGGGGTCACCACAACATGAGGAACTGTATTAAAGGGTCACGGCATTAGGAAGGTTGAGAACCACTGCCCTAAGCTGTGACATAGGCCCGTCAAATCCATCTACGAAAATTCTAACTATAGAAACTGAAATAGCCTTGTCTCTTATATGGCATTGTAGCTTCACAGAATAGTGCCAAAGGCATACAATCGGGGTATCATTATACTCAGCAGATGTAGCTGAACACAATATTATGTGCAGGAATAGCACACACCAGTCTTACGAAATACACATTACAAAAACCTTGTTATATGTGTATATGCCAAAATAGAGAAAAAACACAATTTTACTCCAATATTTAATAGAGATTGGCGACGAAATGGTTAAGTAAAAAGTGTCAAACTAACCTTAGGTAAATAGCCTGTGATGTCTACTTTATATAAGTATATACTTTTGCGTGGCAATTTTTTTTCTGTGGTGGCTACTAAACCTACAAGACAAACATACCAACTTCTAAAATTGTTTCACATTAAAATTTTATTTTAGTCCTTGTATTTTGTGACCTGTAACTTTCAAAATAAGCTGAAATCCTATACATATTATGTACTCTATAAATCAAGACACATAAATTAATTAATTTTGAATTACTTTTTCTAAGCTGGACATATTATGCACACATTATTATTGCCAAAACAGTGAAATCTTTTTCTATTTTTTGCCCCTCCCCCCCCATTTTTGGCATTTTGTGGCATTTTTTTATAATTAATGAGAATTTATCTATGTATATGTGACATCAAATTAAAGCCCTGTTTGCCCTCTGAAAAGCGGTATATAATATGTGTTGGTGCAATAAATGACAGAGATGCAAATTGTGTTTGAACACAAACAGCAAAGAATGCTAAAATGGCTTCTGTCCTTAAAGGACCACTATAGGCACCCAGACCACTTCCGCTAGGTTTAACCCTTTTTTCTATAAACATAGCAGTTTCAGAGAAACTGCTATGTTTATATTAGGGTTAATCCAGCCTCTAGTGGCTGTCTCACTGACAGCCGCTAGAGGCGCTTGCGTGCTTCTCACTGTGAAAATCACAGTGAGAAGACGCCAGCGTCCATAGGAAAGCATTGTCAATGCTTTCCTATGAGACAGGCTAAATGTGCGCGCGGCTCTTGCCTCGCATGCGCATTCAGCCGAGGAGGAGGAGAGGAGGCAGAGAGGAGGAGGAGAGTCCCCCGTCTGGTGCTGGAGAATGAGGTAAGTTTAACCCCTTCCACCCTCTAGAGCCCAGAGGGAGGTGGACCCTGAGGGTGGGGGCACCCTCAGGGCACTATAGTGGTCCTTTAAGGGTAAGACAAGCATTTGAAGCTGTGTCTTTAAGGAGTTAATAGTGTTTCCTTGTGGCATTGTTCAAACAAAAAAACAACACCCTGGTAAAAAAAAGATAACACTGGTCTAACTCAATATGAAGAATACTAATATAGCATTAAGTATATTTAATGACCTATTGCAGTTTAATGCCTTTGTCCAACTGTGCGTGGGCAATCCAAATTACACAGAACCTCTTTAATAATAATAAATGTATGGGGTTCACATCTATGTATGGCTAAATTCACCTAATTAAAGTAATATTTTTTATTTGTAATGTTTGCTAAGTTCTTTGTTATTGTCTTGCCATTAGATTGACTTTCATGGTTCGTACAAAGATGCTCATCACGCTGGTGACTTTGGTGAATATGCAGTTTTTCTCCTTTTTCTGGATTATTCCAATTTTTTATTATTTTCTTGTTTATGTGTTACTGTTTTTCTCCTTTCTGCACACTGCAAATACATGTTGCTCTACAGGGAGTGCAGAATTATTAGGCAAATGAGTATTTTGAACACATCATCCTCTTTATGCATGTTGTCTTACTCCAAGCTGTATAGGCTCGAAAGCCTACTACCAATTAAGCATATTAGGTGATGTGCATCTCTGTAATGAGAAGGGGTGTGGTCTAATGACATCAACACCCTATATCAGGTGTGCATAATTATTAGGCAACTTCCTTTCCTTTGGCAAAAGGGTCAAAAGAAGGACTTGACAGGCTCAGAAAAGTCAAAAATAGTGAGATATCTTGCAGAGGGATGCAGCACTCTTAAAATTGCAAAGCTTCTGAAGCGTGATCATCGAACAATCAAGCGCTTCATTCAAAATAGTCAACAGGGTCGCAAGAAGCGTGTGGAAAAACCAAGGCGCAAAATAACTGCCCATGAACCGAGAAAAGTCAAGCGTGCAGCTGCCACGATGCCACTTGCCACCAGTTTGGCCATATTTCAGAGCTGCAACATCACTAGAGTGCCCAAAAGCACAAGGTGTGCAATACTCAGAGACATGGCCAAGGTAAGAAAGGCTGAAAGACGACCACCACTGAACAAGACACACAAGCTGAAACGTCAAGACTGGGCCAAGAAATATCTCAAGACTGATTTTTCTAAGGTTTTATTGACTGATGAAATGAGAGTGAGTCTTGATGGGCCAGATGGATGGGCCCGTGGCTGGATTGGTAAAGGGCAGAGAGCTCCAGTCCGACTCAGACGCCAGCAAGGTGGAGGTGGAGTACTGGTTTGGGCTGGTATCATCAAAAATGAGCTTGTGGGGCCTTTTCGGGTTGAGGATGGAGTCAAGCTCAACTCCCAGTCCTACTGCCAGTTCCTGGAAGACACCTTCTTCAAGCAGTGGTACAGGAAGAAGTCTGCATCCTTCAAGAAAAACATGATTTTCATGCAGGACAATGCTCCATCACACGCGTCCAAGTACTCCACAGCGTGGCTGGCAAGAAAGGGTATAAAAGAAGAAAATCTAATGACATGGCCTCCTTGTTCACCTGATCTGAACCCCATTGAGAACCTGTGGTCCATCATCAAATGTGAGATTTACAAGGAGGGAAAACAGTACACCTCTCTGAACAGTGTCTGGGAGGCTGTGGTTGCTGCTGCACGCAATGTTGATGGTGAACAGATCAAAACACTGACAGAATCCATGGATGGCAGGCTTTTGAGTGTCCTTGCAAAGAAAGGTGGCTATATTGGTCACTGATTTGTTTTTGTTTTGTTTTTGAATGTCAGAAATGTATATTTGTGAATGTTGAGATGTTATATTGGTTTCACTGGTAATAATAAATAATTGAAATGGGTATATATTTGTTTTTTGTTAAGTTGCCTAATAATTATGCACAGTAATAGTCACCTGCACACACAGATATCCCCCTAACATAGCTAAAACTAAAAACAAACTAAAAACTACTTCCAAAAATATTCAGCTTTGATATTAATGAGTTTTTTGGGTTCATTGAGAACATGGTTGTTGTTCAATAATAAAATTAATCCTCAAAAATACAACTTGCCTAATAATTCTGCACTCCCTGTATTTAAACAGTTATTGAATCTTTCTGGAAGCTATATACTTATTTTATCTTCTCATACTCCAGGAGGTGATGTGCTAAGCCAATTTGTACTTGATTTTGGATACCTGGAATCAAAATGGTAAGACACAGACACTGGTATGGGTTATTCAGAATAGTAAGAATTGCAGACAATCCAAAGGGAATTTCAACAGCAAGGCTGAAATAGTTTCATGTAAAACAAAACTGACTTGAAGAATTTTTCCAATTTGGTTATTTTGACCTTCAAAAAATTCCCAGCGATTCTCACTTTAGTGTATAACCATAAATGTGTCAAAATATGGAAATGTCGAGAGCTGCCTTTCACTTATAAAGACTTTTTTTTTCAATTTGAAAACATTTTCTTGATACAGAGTGTTTTATAATAGTTCCAAAAATAAATCAAAACATGAAACACAGTATCAGTAAATTAAACAATTCTAGACTTTTTATTGCCAGTTGGACTGCTTTTAATATTTTCTAAAACTGAGCAAAAAAGTATATAATTCAAAGACTTGACACGTCACTGACTTACCTGTGTTTAAAGGTACACTCCACTGTCCAAATACAACAAAATAAAATAACCATTTTTTATTATTTATTAAGACACGACACTTAACCAAAAGTTTCCAATTTAACAATAATATTCTATTTATTTTCTGAAGGCACCATAAGCGATATTTAATACAAGTAACAGAGAACTTTTCTGTCAGAAAAAAGTGGTGAAAAATTCATAATCTTTAAAACACACACAGCATGTTTTACATGTCTAAAATTGAATAAATATTATTAAAGGAATGCTAAAGTGTATGGAATACAAACCTGTATTCCTGATGCTTTAGTGTCCCTGCCCCTAGTTAGATAGGTCTTCCCTCATTTGTTTAACTCCTTAAGGACCAAACTTCTGGAATAAAAGGGAATCATGACATGTCACACATGTCATGTGTCCTTAAAGGGTTAAAAAAAAAAATACTCTCTTACCTTTTTACTTTTTACTGCTTACCTCTACAGCAACATCATGTATCAATCCAAAGATACTTATTGACAAGCATCTAAGCTTCCCCATAAGAAAGCATTCAACCAATCAATGCCTTCCAAAGGGGGTTTCAGTGTCACGTGACAAAGTTTTACTGGGTTAGTGCAGTGGAAGCATCTCTAGTGGCTGTCAGTATAACAGTCACTAGAGGTGGACTCAACCCTACAATGTAAACATTATAGTTTCTAAAAAAAAAACTGCAATGTTTTGGATTGTAGGGTTAAAACTAAAGGACTACTTCAACCAGGCCACTTCATTGAGATGAAAAGGCCTGGGTGACTTTAGCACTATTTTAACCCCTTAAGGACCACATTTCTGGAATAAAAGGGAATCATGACATGTCACACATGTCATGTGTCCTTAAGGGGTTAAAGTACTTCCCTACCATTTATAAGCTTTTTCCAAGTAAACAGCTTCAGAATTCTTCCAGATGTAGACTGGATTGACCCCATTTTGTTGTTTTTCTTTAGGTATATACCAGTAAAGGACCTTGTTAATATATATGAGGAGTTCTACGGCAAAGATGTAATAGAAGACAACACGATCATTGACTGCACATACATACTATTTCTTCAGATGTGAGTTCGACCCACCAGGCTGTACTCTGCTAAAAGAACTAGTAACAGATAAACAGCACATGTTTTGTATTCTTTACGTATTAAAAATTTTGCTTTTAGGTATGGAGAATCTATTGCTGTTTCAAAGGTAAGATAACTTTATTCTTGTAAACATTTGATACATTTAATGAAGAAATTTCCTTTAAAATATTTGTCTTCTCTGCAGCTTTTTCCCAACTATGCAAAACAATCTCCATTCTTGGTGGAGAGGTTCCAGGAGTATTTTCTTGGTGGTGTCGATGATATGGCATTTTGGTCGATAAACGTTTTCCAGTTAATTAGCTTTATGTTAGATAATGGTACTAGGTAAGTTATAACATGAATACTAACAACTGATTTAAAGGGAATGACAAACTAGTTTCTAGGGCTGCATGCAGACGAACACATGTATGGACCAGTAACAAACCGTTTCTATGTTATTATATGGAACAAATATCACACTTATGAGTATTGTTCTACGAGAAAAAAACATACATTAAAATAGATTCTCTAAGCACCTTTACCATTTCAACTTATCAGTAAAGTTATTGGTAAGGGCTAATGGTGATTAGACATTGCCAAAAGTATTAAAGGATGATTGGAAACATTCAAATTGACACAACACCCACATGGCATGAATACACGTGGTATATGACATGACGTGGTATAACACGTGGTATATGACTTCTTATTATAACTACTCTACTAGACACATTGGGTTAGAGTGGTGGAAAAATTCTTGTTTTTTTTGTTGCCAAACAGTTTCACGTATAGTGTCTTTGCACTATAGCTACTACATGGTGTAGTTCTTATGGTGATTGGAATGCCCCATTACACGCAGCCTACTTTATTCTAAAAACTTTTCACAGCAAAAGGCATTTTAGACACAATTGAGCTGTATTTTGTTAAAATATTTTCTTTATAAGTTTCTACCAGAGTATTTAGTTTGTTTTATCCAATCTATAGCTCTACTAAAAGTTATTTGGATTTTATCTGACTACTCTGACTACTATTTTGAAAACAACAAACATCTGGATTTAGTGAATAAAATGGTTGCGACAAGGCTATCTCATACCCACTAATGGTCTATCTCATTGTCATGGAACTATACCCTGACACGCAGCGCTAGGACAACAATAGCTGATTAAAGAGAGCAGATGTATTAACAGACCTTAGAATTGCTAGGCTTAATTTAAAAAAAAATAGAGATATCGTAGTGAAGTACTAGCCAAGGTCAGGATAATAGAGAGACAGAATAATCAAAAAACTAGCCGAATACAGAATATTGGAAGAACAAATACTAGCCAAGTTAGGGTTACATATACACTCTAAATCAAAAACTAGACAAGATCGATACCAGAAATAGCAGATAGGCACAAGGAATGCACTAAACGGGAACTAGTAACAGAAACCACAATATGGCGCAGTAAATTGGGCCAAAGAACTATAGATAATGTTAGGTGTGATTTGATTGGTCTACGTCACACCTGCGACCCCAGAACGTGACCCGATGGTCACCAGAGGGATGTGGACCATGCCAAACCGGAAATTATTTGGCATTCCCTCTGCACCTTTGAGAACATGCTCCGAATGCAGCGCTCGCATTGCTGAAATGCAGGCTGTGCACATGGCTTACCTGATTAGTGCATCACTACACTTTCTGGGGACAAAACAGGACACCAGGTAACAAAATCAGAAAGCTGAAAAAGGGAAACTTAAAATCAGAACTGTTGGGAGGCCTGGTTAATCTATCTATCCATCCACCCACCCACTGACCCTCCATCTATCCATCCACCTCTCTATACATACATCCATTGATCTATCAATCAATCTATCAATCAATCTGTTGAGTGATCTATCGAGTGATTTATCAATCTATTGAGCTATCTATCAATTTATTTATCTAGTATGCTATCTATTAATCTGGATCTCATTATTGATCTTTCAAGCATTCTATTGACCTTTCTATCTATCAATCTATCAGTCGATCAATCTATCGTGCAATATATAACTCTTTCTATTGGCCCAGTCATTTTCTTAGTAAGATCTGTCTCTCCATGGATAGATTTATTGATCAATCTACTGACTGATATATTGATATATTGATCTATGTACCAAACATTCTGTCTAGTTTGCCTACTACTATATATGTCTAAATCTTTATGTTATTTATTTTTTTAACTTTTGATACTGCAATATCTTTTCCTCTTTTTCTCTTTTTTCTATTTATCGACCTATCAAGTGATCTATTGATCTATCAATCTTTATATCTATCTATCCATCTATCTATCTATTCATCATCAGTCGAGCTATCAGTTTATTTATCGATAACTCAAGCAATTTATCTGTTTTATATAGAGCTATCTATCAAGCAATCTATCGAGCCATCTACCAATTTTTCTGTCTGTATATCTATCTACCTTTAGACCTATATATTGAGTGATCTATCGATTTTTCTATCTATCAATTCTTCTAACAAGCAATCAATCTATCAAGTGGTCTACAAATGTGTTGTTCTATTGATCTGTGAATCAATCGGTCATTCTATCAATCTATTGCTCTATCGATCTATCTACCAATCTATCTATTTATCTATCTACATATCTATGTACATATCTATCCATCTATCTACCAGTCTATCAGTCAGTTAACCATAATCAGCTGCAGTTTAATGTTTTCTAACAAGGTTTTGCATTTTCCATTTTGATCAGTGACTGCTACATTCCAGAAAACCCAATTTTCATGCAGTGCAATGGTCAGAAAAGACAGAGCAATACGTGAGTATAATTCTCCCAGTACCTGTTGTGATAATGCATTACTTTTAACTTTAGTATATGCCTCAACTGTTAAACTCCATTTGAATTGCCTTTGAAATCCTGATAAAACACACTTTAATGAATAACCCTGTTTATTTAGTGTACATGCACCTTCATTTAATACTACATTCATATTTGTATGATCGTTTTAAACCCTGAAATATACAACTGGCAAACATTAATGTCCCATATATTGTCTACTATTACTACTAAGAAGACTGCGTTATAAAATAATCTCATTGATACAATGTCTGCATTAAAAGATCAAAGTTTACTAGGAGAGAATCAGTCACACAGACAAATATAACTGATCCATTTCTAATACTCAGAAATCGCAATTATTATATATATAATAAATAGTAAAAAAACAATAATTTGTTATCTTGGTAACTATATTAGTCAATAGCAGATATGGCGGCAATGTGTTCAGCCATTGACAATATTTCTGTTAGTAACTTTGACATCATGTTACAGACGAGGGAAAATACGTTTCCAGAAAGATGAGTCCTTCGAAAACTCTGATCCTTCCATCGTGATGTCAGTTGGAGCCCATAAGATTTCTGTGGACACTGGAGTCTTCTTTCACATGAATTCCTGGGCAAAGGTTCTCTTTGCATATTAATGATATTTATGCAATTCAAAAAATTTTGCGCAATTTAATGCATATTGTCTTTGATAAGGGGAAATCGCTAAATCTGATAGAATATTGTAAAAATATATACGTAACTAATGCTATAGAAACATTCATACTGTCATTTTCTGCCAATAACCAGAATAACTGCAGTGAGCTCTACTCTCACCAAGAAGAAGCTAAAACTTTCTCATCCCATTCTAGTATACCCATAAATGTCATGTGAGTGCTAAACACATCCTATAATTTGAGTGTTGTACCAATGGAAGCTGTTCCATTTTTGCACAGATACCAAGTCTCTGTGATGCACTTCTGACTTTACCAGCTGTCCGCAATGAGTTTCTGACTCTCAGCACTGAGTTGAAGTGTATCTATCAATCTGTCGCCTCATGCTAAGACATTGAGAATCAGAAGACCTCATTTGTCATAAACAATACATCCTTATAGCAATCCAGGGTTGCGAAAACCGCCATGCCACATATAAATGATAAAGCACTGCCTTGCAGTATACATGTGTAACTCAATTGCTGTAGAAAGGAAATTACGGAGGAATCCTGTAACAAATTAATTCTACATATTGCCTGAGATAATGAAATAATGTGTGTCTGGTAGGTATAGTCTATTACAATGAAGAGGGGGCACTATGTCAGATACTAAGACAATCAACCAACTTACACCATACTTGCTGTACTTTTACACCACATTTGCATATTCATATGCTATATTATTTAGCATACAGATAGCTATAGAGTCATGTTAGTTAGGACTGTCTCTGTCAGGTACCATCAATCTGATGCTCTCAGCCAAAGAGCAATGTCCCAAATGGGTATATGTTGCTACGATAATATGAAAGTATGAACTTCCACTGTAACATACCCACTCAGATTATAAGACACACGGCAAAGACAGGTAAGTTTCAAACCATTCTCAAATGGTTTTACAGTTAAAGGAACACTCCAAGAGCCATAACAACTACAGTATATAAAGTGTACATTTTAGAACAAGCTTACTTTAAAAATAGAAGCAAACAATGAAATATCGTCTGATGATAGCATCCTGATGTATAATTTAATATTAAAATGGAAAATTATTATTATATACTTTAAATATAAAACTAGACCATGAAAAAAAGCATATGTTACATTTAACACTTTTAAAAACATTCTACTCGTTTACTTAATTATAATTTGATTATTGCAGAATTCCATGCAGCTGCTAGCCAATTCCACTCTGTCAATGGATTTGAGGTGGATGTTTAATTCTGTTGATCAAAATAATGATTCAATGCCTTCTGCCATCTACTTTGTGACTACTCCATATGCTAGACTTGGGTGGTAAGTTTGTGGATAATACAGTGGCGGAACGGATTTAGAAAGCGCTCTAGTGCAAGAATTTATTTGGGCCCTTTCTGTTGCAAGGTGGGCCAAAAGTTAGATCCCCATCTGTCATACAATACCCATAATCCTTTGCCAGCTTGAGATCTACCATTTTTCCATCCTTGCAAGGTTGTATTTAGCACTGAGCAGTTTGTGTGTTTCAATGTAAGCATGCTTTTGTATGGATTATGTGTGTGTGGATGTAGTAATTTATTTGTGTGTAGTGTTAGTTTTTAAATGCAATATTATGTTTCAATGTTAATTGCTATTTAAAAGCACTTGGTGTACTTCTGCACAGTGTTTGCCACTGAATGAAGGATGTCTTTGTACTGTTGGCATTTAAATGCAGATGTGTATTTGTGTGTAGTGTTGGTTTTTGAATGCAGGGGTGTGTTTGTGTGTAGTCCCTGTGTTTTAGTACAAAGGTGTGTTTAGCTGCTCTTGATAAAGGCGCGATATTGGGCCAAATCGCGCGTCGAGCTGACGCTTATTTTTAATAGTTAGGAGGAACCCTTTACTTTTGAGACCAATGGAATGCTAATAGTGAGATTTTTGAGGCTGAATCTAAGGGGATTGCCTTGAAGCAGTGTGATCTAGATAGGAGAGAGGTTTAAGAGGTTTAAGAGGACTAGCTTTAGCTATATTGTCTATTAAATACATGTTGCTGGCTATCTTGAACCCCTCCAATATACCTAATATATTTGACTGCTTTGCTCTATTACTGTTGTGTTGATTAGTATCACATTGTGTAAGTGCCACTTGTTGCTAGTGATGAGGAATAAGCCTTTTGCACTATAATTGCGGTCTAATCAATACCATTGAAATCTAAAAGCCAATTATTAAGAGTGAACTATTTTATGGTATAGAATAGCTTGTGCTGTTAGCTTTCCAATGAAGGAGAGTGGGATTGGTACTATAACCACTTTATTTTTTAAAATATACCACAACTGAGGACCACAGGTGCTGTTTTATCTTTTGTTTACTCAGGACACCCCCTAGTGTGCTAATATAACTACAAGTATCTAAGCACAGATACTCAGTATCTAATGTGTCTCAATAGAAGGAGTTGCTGATATCCTTAAAAACGACCTCTGTTAAATTGTGATATAAACTTTAATTTAAAATGTATTTATATACAGAGTAACTTGTCATATGTATGATATCAATCTCAGTACTCTTTATAGGGATTCCCTCCTATTTTAATTTATTCACGTTTTTTGTTATTATATATTTTTTATGATACTTTATATGTAGAAGTGGTATCCAGTTATTACTAATAAAGACTATGATCAAATTATCTCCAATTGTATCACTATTGAATTGTTAAAATAAGTGTTTTATAAGTGTTTTTATACCAGTGGTTATCTCTGGAGATTTGATTCCATCTCTTTGGGAGTTGGATCTCTATTTGGTTTGTTTGTTGAAATTTATCAGGGGTTATGCCCCTTAATGATTACCCATAAATCCCCTTTTCTTGCAATAGGGTTGGGTTTTTGTACCTAACACATATAGCGATTTGTCTCTAAGTGTGTTTGTGGACAGGGAGATGGACGAAGGGTAAGATGTAAAAGTGTAGGTGAGTGTGGATTTGGTAGACATGTGATGGAGTTTATGAATGCTGCTAGCTTGGAAAATATATGTCATTGTATAGGTAGTATGATTAGGTGGGTGGCTGTATGAGAATGTTTGTTGGTTTGTGACATATTGTGTGTCTGGGTAAATGTGACTAAGTGACAGTATGTAACAGGTTTGGAGTAAGTGACAGGCTGCTTGATAGATGGATATAACTAAATGGTTGCTAGTGAGTTGGCTGGTGAAAGACAGGATGAGTTTTAATACAGATATGAATGTTGTTAATCAGCTATCTGGGTGAGTGACTGTAAATAGAATTTACAAGGGTTGGAAACAGAATAAATCTGCATTCAAAGGTGAGGATCACAAAGTATTACATGGTGATATGTAGATAATGTTAGTTATCAAACATAGTTCTAAAATAAACATCCATACAACGAAAAACAGAATAAAGGTGAACAGAAAAATAAATAAATTAATAACCCACTACATGTGTTATACGTTTGTCCAGAGAAGCTTCATCAGCATTGACTTGAAATGTGAGGCTTCACTGTACCGTATGCATCTCCTTTAGAACATACTTGAGAGATGGAAATCACAATATTACTTCTACCAACTTCCTCTTGATGTCATAAGTCTACTGAGATTAAAACCTGCTTAGTGCATGACTGTACCAATGCAGGGCACATTAAACCTAGTCAACATGTTATCCTCTCCCATGGAATGGAAGATTGTTAGCTTTGTTGACTTAGATAGCTATAAACCTTTGCCCTGTTTTGATGATGTGGTCATAATAGCTATTATGCCCACATCATTATGACCTCCCTTTACTTAATTTCTAAAGCATGTCCAAAATCTGCCCTAGATCCCCTAATTCATTAAATAATAACTATATTGCCTCCTTCTAAAACCTGTCTCATTTGCATTCTAAAGAACTGTTGCATGGTTGCATTTCAAACTCATTATGATAAATAAAAAAGAAAAAGCACTAAAAAGTGGAAAAACACTGAAAAATGCAAAAGACCTAGGAGCTAATAAGTATATGACTCAAAAATCTGGATAAGAAATGCTGGATAAAATCTGTATAAAATACTTCAAGGATATAACAATAAAAATGGGACTAAAAAAAAAAGGGGACTCCAAAATTGGGTACTATGCCTATAAGAAAAATATATCAAGGGTAGGACTCTAAGTTTTAGAATTTACCAGTTACATTTTAGAGTCCTACCCTTGATATATTTTTCTTATAGGCATAGTACCCAATTTTGGAGTCCCCTTTTTTTTTTAGTCCCATTTTTATTGTTATATCCTTGAAGTATTTTATACAGATTTTATCCAGCATTTCCGGATTTTTGAGTCATATGATTAAGTTTTAGAATTTACCAGTTACATTTTAATCATATGACTCAAAAATCCGGAAATGCTGGATAAAATCTGTATAAAATACTTCAAGCACTTCAAATACTTGAAGTATTTTATACAGATTTTATCCAGCATTTCATTTCCGGATTTTTGAGTCATATGATTACGTTTTAGAATTTATCAGTTACATTTTAGAGTCCTACCCTTGATATATTTTTCTTATAGGCATAGTACCCATTTTTGAGTCCCCTTTTTTTAGTCCCATTTTTATTGTTATATCCTTGAAGTATTTTATACAGATTTTATCCAGCATTTCTTATCCAGATTTTTGAGTCATATACTTATTAGCTCCTAGGTCTTTTGCATTTTTCAGTGTTTTTCCACTTTTTAGTGCTTTTTCTTTATTCTATATAGGTTTTAGTGGAACCCTATCTTCCTAGTTAGTAGCTATTTAGTTTTAGTCCTCCTCCCTCTTTGCTGTGTATCACATTAGGTGTACCAGATCTATCTATTTTTCATTATGATAAATGCCTAAGAAACGTAGTTTGTAACTCAAAGCTTTTCTTTTTGTACAGGACCATGACCACAGCTGATCTCAACCAAGATGGTTTAGGAGATTTGATAATAGGAGCTCCAGGTTATAGCATTATGGGACAAGTTCAAATAGGTCGTGTGTACGTTGTCTATAGCAAAGAAACAGGATTGCCTTCTGTCAATATAGACCTTGATAAGGATGCTGATGTTCTGCTGCAAGGTATTGAGGTGAGAAAGAAATGGCTATGGAAGAGTCAACAGGACAATAAACCTTAAGTGATAGAGTATGAATGTTTGTGTAAAATAGTTAGGGGTAAACCAATTTACATGAGTTGAGGCAATATTATAAACCAGGGAACCTAAACATGGACGGTCATATCACCTTTTCACTTGAATCACTTGACTATGAATGTAATATTTAGTGTTGCCATTTATCACATGTTGTGGATAGTATAAGGAATAAACTCAAAGGTATTGGATGAAATGTTTTGATGTGAAATATATTTTACTAAAATTATGTCTACTTGTACATACAAACTTTTTTTTTTCTTTCTTTTTTTTAGCAATCAGGCAGATTTGGTTCTTCAGTGGCTGTGCTGGACTTTAATCTTGATGGACATCTGGATTTGATTGTAGGAGCTCCATCAGTAGGGTCCAAATATCTCACATACACTGTAAGATATTGTTACTGTAAGAAAAAAAAGTTGTATAACAAGGCACACAATCAGTTAGTATACCCAGAATATGGAGACATGCAATCATTATCAATATTTTGTTACATGTTTTTAAGCATTGTATAGATTCCCTAGGATTTAGAAAACTCATGATGCTCAACTCAAGTGAAGGAACGTGTGGCATCAGCAATGGAGTCTCACATTGGGAGTTATGTATAAAGTCTACTTGTGTGACAAAGTTTTAAAAGTGGAGCAATCAGAAGAGGTTAGTTTCCATGGAAATTGCTCAATGTTTAGAACTTTGAGCCAGAAGTGTTCTTTACACGCAACTCTCATTGTATCTCAAAACCTTCTGTGCATATCGACTGCTGTGGAAATTATGCTTTACAGAATTTGGTAATAGTAATGTGCATATCAGATGTAGTCCTCACTTTGATGAGCTTTCTAAATGATTAAATACTGTTAGAAAAGTTTTCAAGTTATTTATCTATAGAAATTCACCATTAAAATCTATGGGTATTTTTGTAGATAAGTAATTTGGAAAAAAAATTTAACAGTATTGAATTATTTGGAAAAGTTACGATTTTAATTGTATAAATGTTTTTGACATAAGATATGATGTTAAAGTAGGAGGAATTGTCAATCTAGTCCAACACGGAATTGTCATTCTGCATACTACCATTTAGGACCATATTTTCAACATGTGATTCTTACACATTGTTATGCAGAATGACTATTGAGCCCTCCAAGTCATTAAATAATACCTTCCCACTAGGACTATTGAAACCAGTAAGTCATTATTTTATTATTGTTGATAAGATTTATCAAGTTTAAGCTGACAAACAGATTTGGCAAACCCAGAGATTTAGCCTTGTAGGCCATCATCTATAAACACCTGATAAAATAATTAAATGCAGGCTTTAGAGGACACAATAGGCGCCCAGACCATTTAATCTCAAGGAAGTGATCTGGGTGCCACGTTCCTCCGTTTTAACCCTGCAGCTGAAAACATTGCATGGTTTAAATACCTGTAAGACACAAGAGACGCTGCCGCCAAAAATAGCAGAGTGAAACCATCTGATTGACAAAGCTCTGCATTTAGCAGCGAATGTGCACTGTATTCCTAATGCTATAGTGTTCCTTAAATAATATATATATGTTACTTTTAGGGTTCCGTGTATGTCTATTTTGGGTCAAAGACAAAAGACTTCTCCTCCTCACCAAACATTACCATAATGTGCAGGGTAAGTGTTCAATGTATACGTTGGACAGGAGGTTCACTATGAAGGATAATTGACTTCAGGAAAGGCTTTTCTTGAAACAATTATATGATTGGTTTATATATGATGCTTATGTATGACTTCCAAAATGTTGCTATGTATCCTTGAGCACAAAAAATATACCACCAAAAATGTAATTACTTGATTTATATGCTCAAACACTTCCTCTCTATATCTATATCAATATACATCTAAATATATATTTATGCAGCTATACATCTGTACAATGTAGGCCATAAAATGTTATTGTACCAAATCCTGAAAAGACAGGTCCATCATTTAGGCAAGTTGAGATAACAAGGGAAAGAGGAGCTTGTAATATAGAGTAAATGTGAAATTAAAAATATACATGGAAAGCACAAGATTATTCATTCTCATTCTGTTGTTCTTGAAAATGAAATATAGTCTGACAACTGATGAGATATGATTGGACACTATTCAGGACTATTTATTAAAATGAGATTTGTTGGGAATTTAAAGTAAGGCCAAAGTCACACAGTCACTCATGCTTCCAGTTTGGCTATTTTGACCTTAAAGGAGATATACAGTTGCAAGAAAAAGTATGTGAACCCTTTGGAATGATCTGGATTTCTGTACAAATTGGTCATAAACTGTGATCTGATCATCATCTAAGTCACAAAAATAGACAATCACAGTCTGCTAAAACTAATAACACACAAAGAATGAAATGTTGCCATGTTTTTATTGAACACACAATATAAACATTCACAGTGCAGGTGGAAAAAGTATGTGAACCCTTGGATTTAATAACTGGTTGAACCTCCTTTGGCAGCAATAACTTCAACCAAACGTTTCCTGTAGTTGCAGATCAGACGTGCACAACGGTCAGGAGTAATTCTTGACCATTCCTCTTTACAGAACTGTTTCAGTTCAGCAATATTCTTGGGATGTCTGGTGTGAATTGCTTTCTTGAGGTCATGCCACAGCATCTCAATCGGGTTGAGGTCAGGACTCTGACTGGGCCACTTCAGAAGGCGTATTTTCTTCTGTTTAAGCCATTCTGCTGTTGATTTACTTCTATGCTTTGGGTCATTGTCCTGTTGCAACACCCATCTTCTGTTGAGCTTCAGCTGGTAGACAGATGGCCTTAAGTTCTCCTGCAAAATGTCTTGATAAACTTGGGAATTCATTTTTCCTTCGATGATAGCAATCCGTCCAGGCCCTGACGCAGCAAAGCAGCCCCAAACCATGATGCCCCCACCACCATACTTCACAGTTGGGATGAGGTTTTGATGTTGGTGTGCTGTGCCTTTTTTTTCGCCACACATAGTGTTATGTGTTTCTTCCAAACAACTCAACTTTGGTTTCATCTGTCCACAGAATATTTTGCTAATACTGCTGTGGAACATCCAGGTGCTCTTGTGCAAATTAAAACGTGCAGCAATGTTTTGTTTGGACAGCAGTGGCTTCCTCTGTGGTATCCACCCATGAAATCCATTCTTGTTTAGTGTTTTACGTATTGTAGATTCGCTAACAGGGATGTTAGCATTTGCCAGTGACTTTTGTAAGTCTTTAGCTGACACTCTAGGATTCTTCTTCACCTCGTTGAGCAGTCTGCACTGTGCTCTTGCAGTCATCTTTACAGGACGGCCACTCCTAGGGAGAGCAGCAGCAGTTCTGAACTTTCTCCATTTATAGACAATTTGTCTTACCGTGGACTGATGAATAGCCAGGCCTTTGGAGATACTTTTATAACCCTTTCCAGCTTTATGCAAGTTAACAATTCTTAATCGTAGGTCTTCTGAGAGCTCTTTTGTGCGAGGCATCATTCACATCAGGCAATGCTTCTTGTGAAAAGCAAACCCAGAACTGGTGTGTGTTTTTTTTTTTTTTATAGGGCAGGGCAGCTGTAATCAACACCTCCAATCTCATCTCATTGATTGGACTCCAGTTGGTTGACATCTCACTCCAATTAGCTCTTGGAGATGTTATTAGTCTAGGGGTTCACATACTTTTTCCACCTGTACTGTGAATGTTTACATGGTGTGTTCAATAAAACATGGCAACATTTCATTCTTTGTGTGTTATTAGTTTAAGCAGACTGTGATTGTCTATTTTTGTGACTTAGATGATGATCAGATCACATTTTATGACCAATTTGTGCAGAAATCCATATCATTCCAAAGGGTTCACATACTTTTTCTTGCAACTGTGTGTGTGTGTGTGTGTGTGTATATATATATATATATATATATATATATATATATATATATCACTATATAATCAAGTAGCGATTGTAGCCGTATTAGTCCAGTGATGCAGATGTAAAAAACTTGTATCTTGTAATACCTTTGTTCTTGAAATTGGAATATAATTTTGTAATAACAAGCTTTCAGGAGAACCTCCCTTTCTCAAGTCTGAAGCATTTCTGAGCAAGACGACACATAGAATTCGAAGTTGACTTGTGATACAGAGGTTAAAGCGACATGAGTGCAGATAAGACAGGTTTGATAGAACATAGACACCATTCTTGCAGAGGTTCATAAATATCTTATGCGAAGATCAGAGTGAGGGGGGAGAAAAACAAACAAACAAGCGAACAGTGCAGAAGGTGCTAAAAGGGGGGAGTATTAATATAAAGAATGCATGAATTCCCATCCAAGAGTTACAGAATATGCATGAAGGCCTATATCCAGCACACACAGACACACGTACAGGCTCATGTACATATACATATACACAAGTAGTGCATATGTGCAAGAATACACAAGAACATACAAACTATCCACAAGTACATACAATATACATATAAATACAACCAAATGCCCAAATATATGTACATGCACACCTACACATAAATTTACACACAAGCACCAATACATGTACCTACACATATACCAATGTGCATACACATACATAGACCCATATATATGTACACATACACCTATTCACATATACATACATGCATGCATACATACACATTATACACACACACAGACACTAAATACATGAATACATACACAGAAACACATATACATACATGAACATGAATTCATATACACAAATATAAATGCACAGTCACATATATAAGCATACATGCATACAAGTATGGGAAAGCATAGGTCTATACATAGTACTTTGTATATTGATAGAATAAACATATTGGAATGCATTTTAAAACGTTGATACATATGACAGAACAGTAAGATAATGCTGGGAGAGTGTTCATGTAAAGTGTTGGCATTGTTACAGGAAACCCAAATCAATATTTAGTCCTTTATTCTTTCTGTTAAACAATTTGATCATTCTGGCTTCAAAAGTTTTTCTTTCCTGGTTAT